AGAGACAGCCGTTAGTCACTGATGTCTGTTTCTCTGACACTGAACAGCTAAAGCCAATTAAGAAATTCGGGAGGAGAGAGAGAGAGAGAGAGTTACACTTATATACAGTTATATACATATACAATTAAGAAATTCGCAATCATAATGAGAGCCAGATACACAAACAGCCTCATATTCACATCCGATCTGGATATCAATAAATGATCTCACTCTTAGAAAGAGCTTTTCATAAATAATGAAGGATTCAAAAGCTCAAACACACATGATGAATTCGTCAGAGGAGGTTTATATATATATATTCTCATCTCGAGCTGGAACTTCAGACACACTTAATATCATTTTCACAGTTACATTCTATATGTCTATGACAAAATGTAACTATATAATTGTCCAGCTCTGATCTGATAAATGAGACAGTAAGGCATGAAGATATTAGGATATTATAAACACTAACATCATCATTGCCTGTAGAGCTGCTTTGAAACAGCTCTATACAGATAAATATGAGATAGACCAAACTAACTCTTACATACCTGATCCAAAAGCATCTAAGTGAACAATCAGTCACATCATTGTCAAAGGCAAAAGCTTTAATGGAAGCTCTGACTCCTGCTTCACCATTATATGCTTCTTCATCAGATTCTGAGAAATGTAGCACTGCATCAGTGTCTCAGCAATGGATGCTCTGCAGTGAATGGGTGCCGTCAGAACGAGAGCTGATAAAAACATCACAATAATCCACAAGTAATCCACAGCACTCCAGTCCATCAGTTAACATCTGGAGAAGACAAAAGCTGAAACTAATCCAGCATTAAGATGTTTTTTAATTTATCTGTTTATTTATTTATTTTTTATTGTACTAGCAGAATTTGGTTAGTTTTTGATAGTTTCCCTTTGTACCATTTTAATGTCAAAACAAAATAACAGTTAAAAATCAGGTGTCTGAGGTCACTCACACACGCGTGTGCTGCTCTCAGCATGAGGAGGAACTGTGTGTTTGCAGTTTATCATCACAGGAAAATAAAAACAGCACAAGTGGCTTATTTCATTCATTTATTTCTATAGAAATGATTCACAAATGAAGGGTGTAAGTGAAACAGAAATCAACACTGACACACATAATGAGAGCTAATTAGCACAGAACTGTCAATCAGTGACTCTGGCAAATCAGAGGTTGTGGTTCAGGGCACAGTGACCGCCCTCATGATGTTGGTGTGTCCAGATCCAGGACTCCAGCCGGTGACGATGATCACCATATCACCCGCTGTGAAGAAACCCCGCGCTTTACCT